AACAATAAAGAAAAAACAATGACTGAAAGACAAATGGAATAAAACCCCAAAAAACTATAGTGATACTCCAAAAATTAAAATACTCACTTGCCTAATTATAATTATTACACACTAATTACTTATTGCCACAACTGTTAAACAGAAAGAACTGCATACATACACACACATACACACACACACACACGTATGTATATACACACATACATATATGTATGCATTTCCTTACCCAGTCTTTTTGAAGAACATGTACTCATCCTCTGTTCATAGAGGAAATCCCTTAGTTACAAATAGTGCCAACTAATAAATGCCAAGAAATGAAAGAACTTAAAAAAATCATCATTTTGCTATAGCAAATGAAATAGTTAATAAATAGAAGCAAGCATAGTTAAAAGACTGTTGGGAGACAGAGTCAATCCACAAGCCAAAATGCCACTCCACACACTACTAGGTAACTACAAAGAGAAAACTTAAGTTTAATGAAAGGACCTAGTAGATACTGCCTTAACCAAATGATAACATTTACCATTTCTAATGGCAGACAATCTAACAATAAGAACCTGTCATAATATGTAAGGACAAAATGTCAACTAATATATTTTTTGCAAAAATTTTGATCTGCATCAACCTTCTAGGCTCAATATTTACTTTGCAAGAATCAAGTTATATTGAGGAAGTATTTAAGTGGTACCATGAACAAACCATTAAATAAATCCTGAATGTAAGACATAATAATAATTTTAGATGAGATATTGATAATCACAACAATCCCCTAGGTCTTCTGTAACTGGAAAAAAAATAATCTCTTAAAAAGAAATCAAGAGAGATAAGGATACAAAAGATCTAAAGGAATCCAATTGTTAGCCTTTCCTAAAGAGACAACAGCCACTAGGGGCATTTGTTGAAATAATACAGGAGCAATAAAGTAAAGGATAGAGCCTTCCAGGGTTATTGGAGTCTGTTGGATTAAAAGGAAACCAACAGAGCTTTTGAAAGGATGTTTAGCTGAAGTGACAGACTGGAATATTTAAGAAACCCAAATATAGCCAGAATTCTCTCCATTCTCTTCCTAATTCCCTCCAGAAGTCTATTTACAAGTATGTGAAGGGAAGTAACACAGAAGACTGTTAAAATAAGCAGAGATGGCCTTAAAAGTAACTACTATAAATCTGTTTAAACAAAACAGGAAATAAACTACATCAATAAAAATACAGAAAACTTAATTTAAAAAAATCAAAAGAGTCAAATAATTATCATAAAAAAATTGAGAAAAGAAAGCTATATTATAAACATCTCTGTTGGTGATACAATAAGCCCAAAAGAAGTGAAAACACAGATTATTTGAACAGTGCTCTTAACTAGTTTAAATCAACAATCTCAAAATACACAAGGTAGGATCTTCTACAGAACTAACAACATTTGCCCAAAAAGTGTCATGTAAACCAACAAAAAGAATTTAAAGAGATGTAACTATCGAGTATGATGAATGAGCCCTAATTGGATTTTATAAACTAGCTGTTTTAGGAAATTAGTAAATTATTATATAATGTAATGATGCTACTGTGATTATTTAGAAAAATTTCTTTCTTAGAAGATGTGATGAGAAATGAAATGTTATCAACTCAAACTGTTCAGGAAAGAGTGTGTTTATGTTTTTCTGTGTGTAGAGATAACAAACTGATTTATAGAAGATATAGGTGTATCTGTACTTTTTTTTTTTTCTTTCTCTATACTGGGGTTGAATCTAGGGTCTTATGCATGACAGGAAAGCATTCTCCACTGACCTACATCCCCAGCCCTTTTTAAACTTTAAGACAGGGTCTTGCTAAATTGCCCAGGCTGGCATCCTGCCTCAGTCTTCCTATATATATAGGTATATATCCCTGTGCCTGATATTTTTTCTGGTTTTTAATTACTTCACAGTACATCTTAAATTTTATTATTCTTACAAAGGAAATCCTATATTGAATTCTTCCAGCTAAATAGTCAACAAAATCTTAGCAGGGAAATGTCAATGAGGCTTAGCTCACATACCAAATATCAATAAAATTTTAAGTATAACTACAAATACACAAATATGCTGTGTATACTAAGTTTTAAGCAGACTTTTGTCCAATGCTTTTTTAAAAACCTACTTTAGCTTCTGAAGTGAAACTGTTCTCTTAAAATTATCGACGAAGAAAGGAATTGCATATAATTCAAGTTAAAATTATACAATTCAAATTTCAAAATTCAATATTGCTTCAAAGTCTTTTTGCTCAAAGTAGCTTTGGATTTAAATTGAACTTATTATAATTTGTCTTAAGATATTTTCCCACTGTGTGTGTGTGCTTATGTGTGTATGCATACACATATGTATTCTATAATTTGTAATTTTTTTCTAAATCCAGTTGGGCCTAATACATTGCACTTGAGAGTTACATCTCTTTAAGTTTTTGTTTCTGTTGTCCAAAACTCTTGTTTTTATTTTTGTTTTGTTTTGTTTTGTTTGGCAATAGGGATTTAACCAAGGGAGCACTTTACTACTGATCTACAACCCAAATCCTTTTAAATTTTTTTTTTATTTTGAGAAAGGATCTCGCCAAGTTACTTAGGGTCTTGCTAAATTGCTGAGGCTTGCAATTCTCCTGTCTCAGCCTCCCAAGTCACTGGGATTACATGCATGTTCCACTGAACCTGGTTCATAACACTCTTTGGACAAATGTAAGTTCTGCAGAAGATACCATATTCTAAATATGTAATATGCATATTTATTAACATATCTTATTCCTTTTTCAGCAGTTTTATCTGAATTATTTTTTTTTACCAGTTTGCCCTAAAAGTGACTTGTTTCAGAACACATGCAGATACAATAATTCTTGATAAAACAAATCCAAGGGAGGGGGAAAAGAGGGAAGTATAATTCATTATACAAGTATAAGATAACAATGAATGCTCCTATGAGACTACCATGTATCAAAGTCCATTTAAGAAATAAAGTCTGAGGGCTTGCCTGCTATATCAGAATACTAATTTAAAAGAAATATTGTTAAAAGCCAAAAATGATGGACTTAGACAGTAACAGTGTTGATTTCTTGACAGGATTACATTATTTTTTTTTCTGTTTCAAAGGAAATTCTTGGCTTTATAGTACACTTTATCTTGTTTCTTAGCTTGATGAAGAAAATGTATAATGTGTAGAACAGATTTATAACTGTTTTCTCTCTATAACCAAGCAAATTAAATCATATAATTTCAAGCATCCCATCTCCTGTTTTTTGGCTCCTTCCTTAGTTCAATTCACAGTTTTCTGACTCCACAACCCACATTATCACCTCGTCACTGCTCTCACTCTCTTGATATTTTTAACTCCTTTCTTACCTGATCATCAGAATCACCTCAGTGTACACATCATCATCTCCCTTGCCCCTCTTGAGTCAGTATACTTATTTGAACATTAACTCTAGTACACTGTGCTATCAATTCACTATCTCATTTTCCAAGAAAACTATTCAATTCTAATTTGATTATTGCCTTGATTAGTGCAGCAATCTTCTAACTGGTTGCCTTACACCTTTACCATTCCTATCCAATAATCTTAACACAGAAATTAATTCTTACAAATTTTTGACACACTGTAAAAAGTTAATAAAATGTCTTTTCTCTTGTCAAAACATCCAATGACTTCGTTTCACTCAGAATAAAAGCCAGTATTTTCACAATAGTCTACAAAATCAAGCTGTTTATTATCTTATTTTCTACTACCACTACCACCACCCAGTGCCCCCCGCATTCTCCTCTAGCCACATTAGTGTCTGTGCTGTTTGTGAAATATGCCAGCATCCTTCTGCCTCAAGGCCTTTGGAAGTGTTAGGGCTGATTTTCTCTCTGATCTCTTCCAGGGCTTTTGCATGTATCATGTCAATGAGATCTTTTCTCTAGATCCTACTTAAAACTGTGTTTTTTTTCCCCCCTTGTTTTATTTTTCTCACAGAACTTACTATTTTCTGACCTATTGTATATTTAATTAATGGGTTTTTTTCTTGACTCTCACCCCTATTAGCATGTAAGTGCCATGAGGGCAAGGATTTTGTGTATTCAGTTGATTTTGTACTCTCAGTACCTATAATGTGACTGGTAGACAGTTGCTAAATATTTATTAAATAAACAAATGAAAGAATTTCTATATTTTGAATAAATGAAATATTATTTCATAGTTTTAAAATAAGATTAAAACTTTTTAAATAAAAAATAATTGAAAGGAAATTTAAACTGGAAGCCATCATAAATTTATTATTCATGAAAAAGGATGATGTTTTATTTCCTGGGAATTCATTTTTAAATTCAGTCAGTATATAATCTTTTCTTATAATTGTGCTACATTAAAAGAATGTGAGCAGTTCATTTTCTGATTTTTTTTAACAGTAGAATTTACATTTTAAGAAAACAAACATCCAAAGTCTATATAAATGCTAAAATACATGGAATTATACAACAAAAATTCAGAATTCTAAAATTTTTGGTATGTTTTTAAATATCAAAATATTCACTTTTACTGAATCCAAATATAGTTATCTAAAGCAATTTCTATTCTATAACTTATTATGCATGAGTGAAGTATTAAGTCCTTTCTTTTCTATTTTAAAATGTTTAAATCTTATTAAAATTATTAAATGTCTTATTAAATTTTCCATCTTAATGTTCAAATGTTACCATATTTAAAAATCACATTTCAAAAATTTCAACAGAAAAATAAATTTTATGTCAACAAAAAACATTTTCACTGAAAAAAAGAAATAAACCAAGGAAAAGTAAAGCAAGTAAGAAAAAAGGTCGTTTAAATGACAACATCTTTTTTTGTTATTCATTCCACATTTTTTATTGGTGCATTATAGTTGTATGCCTGTTTTATAGTATTTCTAGTTTTCCATTTTGGTACAATAAATTATACATAGCATCACTTAGAGTAAAAAATTAAAAGAATACATCAGAAATCAAAAATATTAGTTCATAAGAACACTCACCTACAACACCATTCAATGCGACCTTCACCTTCACAGGTTTTTGCCCAATGATTATCTGCCAAATTTTTCATTGCAACAGCATATTCACAAAGTGTTTCTTCATCTTCACAGTGTTCTCGCCAGATCTTATCAAAATCTCCCACTAAAAACAAAGGAAAAAATACTAAATGAATTAATCTTGCTTAAACACGTATAATCTAATTTCACTAAAATTTAAAATAGTTTTAAACATATTTTAAAAGTTCCTTTGTGTAAATAGAATCATCATTTGTATTATGATGATTTGATAATTTTACCATTTTGAATGGATGGATTTGTAAATCAAACATAATAAAATTTATATCAATATATGAGTTATTGGTTCATAAACTAAAGATACACTGATAGTTGACAATAGGTGAATGGGCAGTCAAACATTATTTTTTCTATAACCTTGCAGGAACAGGGCAGAAACACTTGAAACTGTTTCTCTATATGCTTATCAGTTCCTTGTATAAAGGTTAGATAACAATAGAAATTAACAAACAAGTAAATATTTTTATTCACAAAGCTGGACTTGCTCTTAGACTTACTGTAAAGAATTATAATCCTAAGGCAAAAATGCTGCTTAGAACAAAGTATTTTAGAAGTTTCTCCAAAGTTTTTAGCTATTACAAGTGTTCTAAATAAAAACTATAAGCTGATTACATTACCTATTGAGCTACCACTGTTTTAGAAAATTAAATCAGTCATTACATTTAATATAAGATTTGAAACATCACAATGAAGACTGATAAAGAATGGCTGGGGAATGGTTTGTCCAAAGAATATTAACACAGCTTTAAAGGTAAAGAATAAACAAAAATTAACAGTGTAGATTCACTCAATGTCTTCAGATACAGACATGTCTTGCCAGAACCAACTGAAAAATGTAAAGAGATGCTGGGTGAGAGGTGGAGCACACCTGTAATCTCAGTGACTCAGGAGGCTGAGAGAGGAGGACTACAGGTTTGAGACCAGCCTCAGCAAATCAGTGAGACCCTAAGCAGCTTACTAAGACCCTCTCAACATAAATAGATAGATAGACAGATAGATGGATAGATAGATAAAAAGAGCTGGGGATGTGGTTCAGTGGAAAAGAACCTCCAGGTTCAGTACCAAAACAAAAAAGAACAGAACTAAATGGAGAGATGGTCATTATGCCACAGCTCTTTCTCCAAGCAAAATTATCGAATTTCAGCTTAAAGAGTTTTTTTTTAATAGAAAATGAATTACAGTAACAATTGACACATCTAAACTAATTTGAAAAACTTCCAATTAATCCCATTACCTGGCTATTTTAGGCTCTCAGCCTAATAAGTCCTGAGTTGAAAATCAACTATTAGCCTTCTAGTTTAACCAAGTCAAGAAAGAGAAGTATGGGTACAAACACTCCCTCATATACACATTACTCAATTAAAATGATTGTGGTACTAGTCTCAGTCTAAATTATAAGTTTAAACCTCAAATAGTGTATATTATGCATTTATATAATAACATTTCCATTAATAATTAATATTTGTATAATGATAGGGCTCTCAATTTTTTTATACCATATACTAGCATTATCTGTCAACTAAAAACAAGCAAAATTTTTTTTTCTAAATTCTCAAAAATACCTCAATTTTAGCAACATCTTTGAGATGTAGCTGTCAAATCTCTGGAGAGGTACAGGATGTCCTCAAACAATGTTTTGATTAATGGTTCTTTCATAAACCTATGATAATTCATAACACTATTCTTAACTTTATCCATCAGATTTGATATGGTTTAGTGAGGTACAGTATAATTTGAAAGGCATGTTATGTTTTGTTAAGATCAATATCAACTCTAAAAGGCCCTTTGTTTGAACTTTTTTTTACAGCCCTATATAAAGTACATATTATATAAGTTAAACAAAAGTTATATGATAAAATACATTTCAGAAAAGATATGTTTAACACAAATGGATTTTCTTTCTGATAGATTTACTTTAGATTATATAAAAAATACAACTGAAGACAAAGACTTGATTAAAAGTAGTTATATCTGGGAGATAACTCTAAGCAACAGGAGTGAGAAAGTACATAGAAAGACCAGAAGAGAGATAAAATTAACAGCACAAGGGTACATTACTGAAGTTGCTGCTGTGAATGACTAAGAAGCATACATAATGCTTCTGGGACTGTGCACCTAAAAGATGGGAAGCTGAAGTATTTAATTACCAGTTCCTATACACGTGAACCAAGGATTGTTAACAACATTCAAGTCTGCACATAGATACTGAATAAGGGGACTCATTGGCTTCAGCAGTGTTAGAGAAAGGAAGAACAGAAAAAACAAATCTGGAACACTATTAGGGCTAGTGACCCAGTTCAGTGTCTGTCTACCACAGCTGAGGATCAGGGATCCATGGGGTATCAAAAGGCACTACAAATTTCTAGAGTTCTTGACATTCTACTGCATATGGTATATTGAAACTCAATTTATTCTATAATTACCAACTGGCTAAAAGATACAAAAACAACTGTAAATATACAGAAACTACTGCTTTATAGCTTTTTAAACAACCTCTGTTTTTTTCCCACTCCACAAAACTTTTCCATTCCACAAAACTGGAGTTTTAAGACTTACTGTTGGCTCCTTTAATGTTTTAAGGAAGAATTCAAAATTTGTAGGCTTATTCAGTTGAAACTAATTATATACAACTTCAATTTTTAATGTTTTCATTAACAGTAGAGACTCTGCACAATGTGTGCTGACCCTGAAAATTGTTGATTGTAAATGTACACTTAAATATACAATTGAGAACAAAGCAATTTAATACATTTTTGTTCTTTTCAATAGGCTTGCTCAAAAAATACTCTATTAAGCACTATAGAGAATAATAAATCTAATGAGCAGGCACTAGCAATCAAAGGAACGGGAAAAACAAGTAAATAAAATATAGTAAATAATATAATAAAAGAGACACAAACTTAATGTTTCTTGTGTCCCATATGACATCCAGGACACAGAACTTTGTATTCAAGTATTTATTCAACAAAAATGTATCAAATCTCAGCTACTAGATATGCATTATGTTACATGTCTGGCAGTTATAGAATTGACCAAAAATAGTTATAAGTATGCCCCTTAGTTATAAGAAAAATCTATTTCTGGAATACCTAGGAAGCTTAGTGAGGTATAATTGTGAATAAATGAAAATTTTAAAACAAAACAACATGGGAAAAATTAAGTTTTTCAAAAAGGCTATTAGAGTTTTACAATATTCAAAATAATGTATTCAACCTTTAAGCAAAGTAATTTCAAAATAGTCTATGATTTGGGTTCTAAACACCAAAAAAAGTTAATGGTTAAAGAGAGCCCAGTATATATAGGAAATCCCTCTGCTAACTTAGCCAAATATGTGTATGTGTGTAAGTGTGTGTGTGTGCGTATGTAAGATTGTCTCACATAAAATGAAAATACTTTTCATTATCAGAAAGAAAATGAGGAACTAGAGCTTCCTGAGGTCTGCTCAAAGGTCTAGTGAATGCACTACAAGTAATGTTTAAAGTATTCAAGTTATAATCCTAGTTCTCAACAAATTAATAATTAGTCATTCTTTAACATGATGACACTTGTGAATAACTCAAAATCATGACCCCCCTATTTTTTACCCATTTTTCTTTTACAGGCATCATTGAAAAAAATGTGTCTTAGAACAGCTGAGATCAGGTACCTTCAGGCTGATAAGTTATTTCTTATTTTTGAAATGAAATGATTTGTAGAAGGGTATTTATATCTTTATATTACATATTTCTACCTTTTTCACATATAAAGATATGTATTCTCTCAATATATGGCTTCAATATTTATTTTTAATATCAGGTTTTAATCAACAGAAATACTTAATTTTAATATAATCCAATTTCACAAGAGAGAGAATAAGAATGATCTCCAACAAGTATATACATTTTACTTTACCTAACTACAGAGAATTAAAAAATTACTTAGAAAGCACAATTAAAAAAATATGTTCTGCAACTTAAAAGTTAAGTTAATAAACATTCTACAGCCAAACTAGAAGAATAAATTTAGAGAAGGAATCAGCAATCACTTGTTCAAACACACAGTTTTAAAACTAACTTAAAACTCTGCCCAGTCTAAAAGATAAAGTTGTCTAATTGCCTTCAAAATTCTTGAACAAAAGCCACATTAACATGACTTATATTTATTGTATTTTCGCTATATTTACATTTTGCAACACTTATTTAAAAAAAAAAATCTAACTCATACTTTTAAAAAGGAGTGATGCCAACTTGTCAACTTTAAGTTCAATCTGGAAACCAATGAACCGAATTATTCTGAATCCTGGTCCTACATCAAAATAATACCATAATTACTGACTAAACTCACTTTTATCACATTATATGTTCACAACAGAATAAAGAGTTACTGCCTATAAAAAGACAGTGACAACTAGGAAAAAAGAAATAGTACACTCACTAATCTTAAGTTAAATTTTTAATAATTTTATGATTATTTATTATGACTTTGTAACTGTCTTTGTAAAATATCAAATATAATGAAACATGAAACAAAAATTGTCCTTAATACATTCAAGAACATTTCTATAAAAGTTCTTAAATTACATTAACCTTAGAAACTCCTTGATAAACTAATCTTCCCATATGAATTAACTCCTCTCCTGCCATCTGGTATAGCAAATTCTTTTTTCCTTTGAAACGTAACTGAATTCATCCTTTTTTTTTTTTTTTTTTGGAGAGGTTTTATCTGCCAGTTGATCATCTTACAATTCCCCCATATATGCAACTACCATTATTACAATATATATTCTATTAAAATCAGGAGTGATTTTCCCATTAGAATACATAAATTAAAAAGCAAAGACTACTTTTGACTTATATATTTTATAAACTACAGAACTTAATCATGGTATCAAGCTGATGCAGAAAATATTTAAATTTTTACCAAACTTGAAATATGTATTAAACACCAAAATTAAAGACAAATCAAATTTAGTTGTTAATTTAAAAGGCAGCAGATAGCTGTCAACCAACAGTAGTAGCTCCAAAGCAGTAAAATTTGAACATTTCAAAATAATGACTATTCTTAAAGACCAGAAAGTTTTAGAAAAAA